TGAATATAGTAGTCGTAAATATGTGACTACTTCAGGACCAAATATAGTAGTGGTAAATGCGCGACTAAATAGAGACTGAAAAGATGTGGTCGCTCATTAGAGACCACTTTGTGACACTGGATTTGGTCGTACATTTGCAACATTTTACATACTAATTGTGGAGTGGCTAATGAACTTTGATAGTTGCAAATTGGTTCTTAAAGAGTCACCCATTAGAACAAAAATGCCACTCTATTTTTGGTTTGGTCAATGATAGAGTCACAAATTGGTCACAAATTTGCAACGTTTTTGTGACTGATTTTTATATACAATTTTGTGACTGATTTGTATATATAGATATAAATTGTATTGTTGAATTCGAAATTAAAACGAAAAATATAAAGAAGAAGTCCAAATTGCATTAAAATAGTAATTTTAAGAAAGCACAAAAGAAAGTACAAGTAATTTAGTACTTTAACCTTACATAACCGATGCATAAGTAGAGGTGAAACAAAAAAACATAAGTAGAGTGTAAACACAAAGTACACATAAGAGAGTTTCAAAAGCAATATTAAACAGTTGATGGCTGGTCGGGTTAGGTGGGAGATGTGGTGACTCGTCCAGGAGGTTGTGCGGTGGTCGATGCAGTGACTGGTTCGCTGATTGGAGTGTTGTCTGGTTGTTCACTCATGAATGCTGCAAGGCGGGGATCAGAGAATGTAATGAGCCTCTCCATTTCAGCGATACGTTCTTGATCACGTCGATGCTCCTCATCACGTCGAGCTTGGTCGCGGCGAATCTCCTCATCACGTCGAGCAATGCTCTCTTCCTGTGCAAGAATTTTAAGACGAGATGCTTCAAGTTGTTCATGGATTTCTGAAAGCGAGTCTGCTGGAGAGCTTGCATAGCTCTCTTTCCTTTTCCCTTTGCAGACCATCTCAGTTAGTGTTCCAAGTCCAAATGGGTTCCCCTTGGAATCAGTATGAGTACACTAAAATAACAAAAAACCAGAGTAAGATAGTCCACAAAATATAGGCAGTGAGATGAAAATAAATAGTTCATAATTGTGCAAAACAACCAAGTGCATCTATCCTATTGATTCTAAACCACAGACATAATGATTCAGTACATATATTTACCTATCAGAATGAATAATTAGAGAATGAATAATTAGAGAATGATTCTTAACCAACAACAGGAAGATTGACAACAAGAAGCTCACAGATGAACACAAAGACCTAATTGATACAGTTACAGTCCATAAGCACTGAATCACTACTCAAGCATCAGAAAAATTACTCTGTTGATAAGCCAAAACCAAAACAGAATAATGCAAAATTCAGATAACACTTGATAAGCATATACATAAAGCAATACCAGAGAGAAAAAGATATGCAATTGTATGGTTAGAAAGAAAAATACCTTGAGGAATATCGCATCCTTTTCATCGATGGTCAGGGTCCGTTGAGTAGAATTTTGAGAAGAATTCTCAGGGCCATCCGGATCATCCTCAGACATAACTTCTTGTAACTACTTCAAATATGCCTCAGCAACTTGTTGCGCTTTGTAATCAACAAAGGTTCCATCTTCCTTTGTATGTGTCTCCAAAAACACTTCTCCAAACAATACGAGACGACCATATTCCACCTCCTGTAATGATACAAAAATATGTTAGTGTAAACAAATTACCATTTCACGTCGAACTCTCAAGTAGGATTTCTGCCCAGAAACATGCTTTGCAATTCCTAGACCACCACGATCAGAGTTGCGGCACTGTGAAGCAGTAGAACTCCTCGCAATTGACTTAGGAGTGTTCCAATGTTGCCACATTAAAGCCCAAAGCGTAGGTGTGATCCAAATTGGCCTTTGACCACTGTTCTTAGCTTGACTAACTATGCCTCTCATTCGTTTTGTGGCAATTGTCATAAAATACTTCCTCACAATCGGTGTAATCCCAATATCCCAGTTGTACCTCCACTACAAAATGAGTTTTTGTATTAGTAGTGATCTGTTTTAAGAGTACAACTTAAATATAAAAGAAGCATTACTCTAAATCATTACCGCAAAATTTCTAAAATAGCGTTCTTGGACGTGAGTCGGCATAACCTTTCAGCTATAGTAAGGACTATCAAACTTACGCCGAAATATTCCAGAAATAACACGACTCAATTCACCATCGTCCCGAGTAAACCTTATACATTAATATGAACATATGGTTAAAGAACAGAATGAGAACACAATATGGATGATGTATCAACACACAAATACAGTAAAGCCCAGAAGACACGAATACAATTAGGTAAACAGATAGAATGCTGCAATAGAAGACCCTGATCAAAGTATCATATTACCAACATCATGCTTTATCTCTATATCGTTTGTTAGACTTATATTTGTTCAAAGCTTTATCTCTAAATAGATACAATGAGCTAAACAGATATAATGATGCATTAGAAGACCATGATCAGAGAATTATATTACCAATATCATGCTTTATCTCTATATCTTTTGTTAGACTGATAAAGTTTGAAGCTTTATCTCTAGACGTATACAATGGTCAGTTCATGCTTTATCTCTATAAAATAAGGCAACTCAGTAGTTCTCTAACTATCATGGTCAGTTCATTAAACGCAACAAGTCATTAAACAACTACAGAGTTAAGAACGTTACCATGTCATCTTCACGTCGGGGATTGGATGCTCAGACAACCGAACAAGCTGCTCTCGACCAGGACGATGCATTTGGTCATCCAACAGCTGTTCAAAGTCTTGTGCCTCTGGGTTGGGAGCTTCAACCTCATCTTCTTCCTCGAAATCAAGATCATTGTCGGGAAACTGACCATTGTATTCTTCTTGCTCGGGAATGGGATCTTCTGGAAGCAACGGCTCAACAACTTGCACAAGAGGAGGAGGTTGATGGTTCTGAATCGGAGAATAGAATTGACAAGCTGTAGGCGGTTGTGTCGATGGTGGATACTGTGCCGGAAGACTGGTTCTAGAGACAGAAACTGTGTTCTGAGATGAAGATGGGTTAGAAGAATGGGATGATGCACCTTCAGTCTGTCGGCCGTTTGCTCTGACCGTGGATGTGACATCTCCGCCTAAGGTTTCAGAAGGTCGGCCGTTTGCTCTGACCGTGGATGTGACATCTCGGCCTGAAGTTTCAGTAGGTCGGCCGTTTGCTCCAGGACCACCGACTGTAGGTCTAACTACTTTGTTGTTGGCTCCACGACCACCGACAGCTCCGGCGTTGACTCTAGCCCTAAAGGCGGCTGTAGATGTTGAACCTGGGCGGTTGGCTCCGCCACCAGCATCGGCTCTGGATGTACCAGCACCAGGGTCACCACCGAGACCTCTACCACCAGATCCGACGCGATCTCTACTACCAGGAAGAACTCTGGGTTTAGCGGGTTTGGGTTTGTGAGCCATTAAGATCGACAGAGAGAGGGATTCGAGAGATCGACAGAGAGAGGGTTTAGAGAAGATCGACAGAGAGAGGGATTCGAGAAGAAAGAGGCTTCGAGAAGAAGAGAGGGATTCGAGAAGAAGCAAAAAGAAGATCAAAGTTTTCGGATCTATAGAGGAATCGCCGAGTAGAGAGAATTTTGTTTTTAGGGTTTCTTAAAAAATGAAAGCGAGAACAGATTTGGTATTTTTATTGTACTCAAAGAGTCTCTCATTAGTCACAAAAGAGTCACAAACTGATTTACGGGGGAAGAAATTGGGCGCCCAATAGCCCAAATAATTTTGGTGAAAATGGCCAAAATTGTTTAAATCCAAATTTTAGAGCCCAAAATGTAGTTGCAAAGTAGTCGCAACTTAACAAAGAGTGGCAAAGTGGTTGCAAATTTATAACTGATTTGTGATTCTATAAGTAGTCACAACACGAAACCCTAAACCATAAACATTTTGAACCAAAATTGTGAGGAATATGTATTTTCAATCAGTTTTTCATCTATATATGAAGTATTTGTTTGATTATATATAATTATATTGTGGTTATAAACTCAAATTTGAAGTAAAAACATTTTACCACAACATATATATTAAAATCTCAAGTACTTTTACCTTATAAAGAAGATATGTAGGGTTTTAAAAATTTAAAACTACATAGATTTCACGAGAATATGTAATATAGAAAGTAAAATCTCTATTCTCATTGTTTGTATGGATGTACATAAGTAGAATGAAATCTTTGTACATGAAACCAGTTGTAAATTTTACAAAACTCTAATGAGGGTGGGTAAAGAGTCGCAAAGTAGAAACTATTTTATGACGTTTTTGTGACTCTTTATATTAATTGGTCCAAAAAATAAAAACTGAGAATTGAACTAGACTCCTCTAAGTGTATCCGGTTGATGTTTTCCATTGAACTACTAAACCAATAAGTCCTTCTTGTTTAACATATACTATATATATTTGTAATCTCGTCAACCAGAAATAAAATTGGTTTAGCCGAGCGTCGAACCCGAAACTTCTCTAACTAATGGTAAGTTCCATTAACACTGAGCTATAGACACAAATCGTTGGATTGTCAACTGTTTTATTATATATAACAAAACTTACCCATCCTAACTGAATAAATTACAAACATTTACAATC